CGGTCCGGCAAATACAAATGCACTGTAGCAATGAAAAGGGGGAAGCAGCAGGAAAATGAGCATGCTAGACGTCACTATGGCTCCAGTCGGCTTCTCTGTGCACTTAAAACGGGACAAAAGCCACAGACCTAAGAGTGCAGCACGCGGCAAGAAAGCCTGGAGACTACAATGCTCACATCTGTGCCTCAGACTCTTACCTAACAATCCTAGCTAGGACTCTTCATCCCATTGTCGGTATCTGATCATTCTAGCTAGCGGGCAACAAGACAGGGGGTATACAGATAGTAACTGCCTGACTTTGGAACACGAGCCACAGCTGGCTTTGAGATATGTTTGTCTGCCCTGCACTTTACAGAGAATGCCAACACTTTCCTTTGGCTTCAAGTTAGATTTAGTTTAGCCCAGAAAATTCTAGATTTTGTTGCCTTTACATAGCCAAAGCTATAAGAAAGGGCAAATTCATATCTTTTTTAAAAAGATATTCTTTTTAAAGAATTATTAAATTTTATTTATTCTCGTTATATATTTAAAATTTGCTATAGAGCATGTACATGCACCAGAGACAGACAGAGAGAGGGAAAGTGAGAAAGCAAGCTAAGCTGTCAGGTCATGGAATCTAACCATGGTCAGCCAGGGGTCTAGAGCCCGAACCACCATGACACCTGCTGGCCCCCAAATTCATTCCTTTAAACACTTTCATTATCAACCGAGGAGAAAGTTAAATGGACAAAGAATTTTACTGAATAAACTGGAAGAAATCAAAGATAGGTATGAAAAAGCAGGATGAAAGAATTCATTAAAGTACAAATAGGTGAATCAAACTTGATTAACAGTAGATTGATAAGCTAACCCAACTGGTTCTCTGTATTCATGGAATGTGGACAGACACGGTCTACCTTTCTGGATAGGAAGATTAAATATCGTAATTATGTCAATACAAGTTTATACGCATGCCCAAACGTGTAGAAGCCGAGACAGAGTCTGAAAAGACATACAGCAAAATGCTCGCAACTTTTTCTGCAAGTGGTGAGATTAATTATACTATTTATTTGTTTAAAAGAATTATTTATTAATTTTATTTATTATTATCATTATTCTTCAATTTGCTATAGAGCACATGTGCTCACTAGAGAGGAACAGAGAGAGAGAAAGAGAGAGAATAAGCAAGCAAAGCAACAGGTCCAGGACTCGAACCGCAGTCAGCCATGTGGGAATCTAGTGTTCTAACCACCACATCACCTGCTGGCCTCAATTGTACTATTTACGTTCTTTTTTGTATTATTTCCCGTATTTTCTAAATCTTCTGTGATACATAAGTAATTGTAGTATCAGGAAAAAAGTGAGCCTTTTAAGAAAGATGTTAATTCTCACTGATGATATTTATGATGAAATGCCAATCAAGCTTCCTTTTGGCTGGAACCGCCATCTTCCAGTAATTCACCAAAATGACGAACACAAAGGGGAAGAGGAGAGGCACCTGGTATATGTTCTCCAGGCCTTTTGGAAAACATGGAGTGGTTGCTTTGGCGACATATATGCGAATCTACAAGAAAGGTGATATTGTAGACATCAAGGGAATGGGTACTGTTCAAAAAGGAATGCCCCAAAACATGACCATGGCAAAACTGGAAGAGTCTACAATGTTACCCAGCATGCTGTTGGCACTGTTGTGAACAAACAAGTTAAGGGCAAGATTCTTGCCAAGAGAATGAGTGTGTGTATTGAGCATATTAAACATTTTAAGAGCAGAGATAGCTTCCTAAAACATGTGAAGGAAAATGACCAGAAAAAGAAGGAAGCCAAAGAGAAAGGGACCTGGGTTCAACTAAAGCGCCTGCCTGTTCCATCCAGAGAAGCCACTGTGTGAGAACCAATGGAAAGGAGCCTGAGCTACTGGAACCTATTCCCTATGAATTCATGACAGGATGAGTGTTAAAAATAAATTAAACTAAACTGTGGTCTATTAAAAAAAAAAAGCCAATCAAAACACCAAAGAGATAGTTAAGTACACTAAATGAAGACTTCATGAAGGTCATCCATACATTTTGCAAAAGTTAATGAGTTCTTAAATCAAAAATGAGTACAGTAATTTTACTCTACAAACTATCAAAACATAATAGAAAGCTTCAATTTAAAATTTTTTAAAAAAATTTTTGGAGAGGTTTTTGCTATAGAGCGCATGCAATCACCAGAAAGAGACAGAGAGAAATCACCCCTGGGGGTGGGGGGGATGGCCACACTGCAATTCCTTCTCCTCCATTCTCCTCTTGGAATCTTGGGCACACACACACACGCGCCAGCATGAGTTTAAGCCACCAGGTCCAGGACTCAAACTGCGGTCAACTACATGGGAGTCCAGTGACATAGCCATTATGCCAACTGCTGGTCCCAAGAAAGCTTCAATTATTGACCTATAGTTTAGATGAGAGCCTGGGGTGTAACCTCTAATGAAATTGCTTCCCTACTTTTAGAACACAATGACAAAAGCTAACGTGATGCACCACAAAGACAACTGACAACCGAATGCACAATCAGGTTGCCACTGACTGATCTTAAGACAGATGGACCAGGGGCCAGCAGGTGGTGTGGTGGTTAAGGCGCGGGACTCTCACATGGCTGACTACGGATCAAGTCCCAGACCTGGTGACTTGCTTTCTCACTTTCCCTCTCTGATGAGTGCAGGTGCCCCATAGCAATTTTTTAAAAAAATAGTGAAATTAAATAAATAATTTTAAAAAGACAAAATTGAAGATAAAAATATCCCTGGGAGCTTACAGCTCAATTTTCTTCCCAAACCAGTGACAACCCCTGAAATAAAGTGGGAGATGCCTTTAGCTGCTCTCATCAACAGACCCTTAAATCACAGACCCTGGGCTGGAGGAAAGGGAAACAGGAAACCGTCTCTCTGCAGCTTCCCAGCACTGCCCTGTGAGGTGGGCGGAATGTCAACAATCACTACAAATCTTGCAACACATGACGAAATTCCCGACTGATGAGAGGGCTATTTAAAAAATGAAAAAAGTGAGTATTTATTTGATCTTGGGCTGGGGAAGATCTTTCCAAGCAAAAGAAGACTTTAAAAAAAGGAAACAATGACCAGATCTGAATGCCATAACAATTTAATGTCAAATGTTGGCAAGGATTCAGGGGAACGAGTTCTCTCACGAATGGCTGCTAGGAAAGACGGGCATAATATTTCTGAAGGGCAATCTGGCTTCCATCTGAAGGTGATGAAAGTCTTTAAAGTGTTTATACTCTTTGACTCAGTAAGTCAACGTCTAGGAATTTTTCTTAAAGAAATAATCAGAGAGCGTTTAAAAATGTTCTTACGACACTCGGAAGTCTACAAAGAAATGTAACTGTTCAATAATGTGTATGTTCAATAACAGGGGGCTAGTAAACATGAAACCCTTTGTATAATAAAAATACTATCTAACCTTTCAAATAATGTTGAAAAGCGTATTTGACGATGACAATATGCTCAAAACATGTTAAATTAAAAAAAAAAAAAATAGCCCAGCCTGGTGATGCAGTCAATAGCAAACAGAACTGCAGCCTGGAAGCCACATGGCTGACCACAGGTTCAGATCCCCGGGTCAGTCTGAAAACACGCTGGGTGCGTGTGTGCACCCCACAGCTGGGTGAGCTGGAGGACTCGAGAGAGGGGATCGAGCGTGATGAGACCCATCGACGGTGCATCTCTCTCTCTTTCACATGCACACCTGCTCTCAATCATGAATGGAAATAATAAACTTAAAAAAAATTTATTTATTTTAGAGAGAGACTTTTTTCCTGTAGGGCATATGTGCTTGCCAGAGAGACAGACAGAAAGCAAGAAATCACCCCCCCCCCGGGGGGGGGGGGGGGATGGCCATGCTGCAATCCCTTCTCCTCCAGTCTCCTCCTGGGATTTTGGGCATGCACACACATGTGCCTGGAGTGAGTTTTAAGCTGCTGGGTCCGGGACTTGAGCCACAGTCGACTACGTGGGAGACCAACAACATAACCAATATGCCATCTGCTGGTCCCCAAAAATAATAAACTTTTATACATTTATACACATTTCCATGCGGGGGAGGGGAAACAATGAAAGAGTGGTTATGTTATTACTTGGTAGGGATATTGGGGATAATTTTAATTATCTATTCCCAGCAGTGTTAGACCTGGCTAACTTATTCAATCTTCAAGACTCTGCTCAGTTGCCACCTCTTCTAGGAAGTCCTCCTGCATTACTCATCTCTTTTTTTTTTTGAGAGGTTTTTGCTATAGAGAGTGTGCGCTCGCCAGAAAGAGACAGAAAGCAAGAAATCACTACTCAGGGACCCCCCCCCCCCAGGGGGGATAGCCACGCCACAATCCCTTCTCCTCCATTCTCCTCTCGGGATCTTGGGCACGCATGCACGTGCGCCCCGTGTGAGTTTAAGCCATCGGGTCCGGGACTCGAACCATGGTTGACTACATGGGAGTCCAGAGACAGCCATTACGCTAACTGCTGGTCCCCATCTCTTTCTAATGATACACTTACAAGGTGTCCCTCTTTTGCACTGGACTACACATGGACGAGGCCCTAGCATGTTCTTTTTTTAATAATTATTTTTAATTTTGTTTATTCATTCATTTATTTTGACCAGAGAGAGAGAGAGAGAGAGAGGAGGAGAAAGTGAGAAAGCGAGTCACCAGGTCCAGGACTCGAACCATGGTCTGCCAAGTGGGAGTGTCCAGCGCCTTAACCACCACGCCACCTGCTGGTCTCCCCTAGCATGTTCTTTATCACTGCATCATAGTCTCTGATTTACTCACTGTAACCCCAGTACATGCTGAACCATCCCAAGGTAGAAATATGAGTGTTTCATTTTTGCATCCGCAATGCCAATCTGTAGGGATTCTAACAGGTATTCAAGTTAGAACGCTGGATACGTGAATGAACAATCCTCTTTGCTCGGGAGCGGGCGAACTGTCCATAAGAAGGAGTGAACACCAGCACAGAGGTCTCTCCTTACCTTGGCTAGCAGGCTCGACATGCGCTGAATTTCGCCGTTTGCCTTCAGTAACTCCTGCCTGAGCTCGGTGCAAGACAGCTCCAGCTGGTCTTTCTCAGCTCGAGCAGCTTTCAACATCTCCACGTCACAGCTCTCTGCCATCTGCCCCAGGGTGCCTGTCTCCACGGCCTTCTGCTTCTCTCCTTCCAGGTGAGCCTTCAAAGACCCATTCTCCATCTTCAACCCTTCCAAGGTCACTCTGCATTCCTCCAGCGTCTGGGCCATCACGCCCTTACTGTGCCGCTCCAGTTCCAGGAACCCGCTGAGCTTCTCGTTTTCCTCCCTCAGCCGGCCGATCACTTCTGCGGCCCCCTGGTTCTCCTCCTCCACCTTCCGCAAGCGGCAGGTCAGTTGCTGCTGGATGTTGAGCAGCTTCTCTCTTTCGAAGCGGCCCTGTTCGAGGATCTCCGTGCACTTGTGCTCCAGCTCCAGGACTTTGCCTCCCTGCGTGCTGGGCTCCTCGCTCTGCACGCGCTCCTGCAGGAGGGTGAGCAGCTTCTCGTTCTCCTGGCTCAGCTGCTCTGCTCTCTCTCGGTGCTGCTGGAAGGACGTCTCCAGGAGCGTCTTCTCATCCACCAGCTTCTCATTCTCGGCCGTCAGTTCCTGCACCATTTGCTGCTGGTCCGAGAGCTCCTGCAGGGTGGCCTGCAGCTCCTCGGCGGTGCTGTGCTGGTTTTCCTCCATCTTCTGTATCTTCTCCGTGAGGGACGCCAGGGACAGTTCGCTCACGTTGTTAGGGGAGCTCCCAGACGTCGAACACTTGGAGCTCTTAAAGGGGTTGCTGGTGGAGGACAGGGGCCTGGAGGGGGTATCTGCTGTGATGTGCTCAAAATCGGAGGCATCTGGTGACAGAGAAGCTTTGGTGACATCGCTGCTCGAAGAGCCTGATGTCCGTAATGCATTTTCCTGCATGTGCTTCTGATACTCGTCGATTTCACTTGACAGCGGGTTCCCGGTGGGGCTCTCAAAGCTGGACTCCTGGGTGATGGAGGTCGGGCAGCTGCTGTCGCCAGGGGGACTGGCCGCCCCCTCTGAATTAGGCGACTGCTCGAGGTAAGTCAGTTTCTCCCTCAGGACCCGGTTTTCTTCCTCGAGGTCGGCCAGCTCTTTCTGGAAGTTCCTGTTCTTCTCCTCCAGGGCTCTAATCAAAGGTTCTGGGTCACCGGGTGAGACCGCTGCATCTCCATTTGGGTCAGAAGCATCAGCCCCTTCGGAGCTGAGAGCTCTTTTCTCTTTACATTTCTTTAGCTCGCTTCGAAGCCTGTTAATTTCACTGTCTTTGGCTTTGGCTTCTGCCAGCAGTTCCCGAACCTGGGACTCGAGCACGGCCTTCTCTCCTCCTTCGCTCTCTTGCCTGGGCTTTGTGGACACGGCCCGCAGGTGCTTGGTAGGGGTAGGGGTGCTGGAGGAAGTGGGACTGGACACCGACTTCCTGGGGTTGCATGGGCCGCGAGGTACGGACCTCTCCCTTGAGACGGTGACTGGGAGTTCCCGCGGAGCTGGAATGCCGGTCCGTTTGGTGGCTGGCACAGCCCCTTCAAGACAGAGAGAGAGAAAAAGCAAGCACTTTTATAATAAAACCCAAGTGACTTCACGTGGCAGCGCGGACAGTGTGGCCATCACCCACCGTCCCCTTCCTCCTCTAGGTAATGCCCTGGTCTGATGGGTTTCTTTTTTTCTTTTTTTTAAAGAATTATTTAATTTTGTTTATTTTAATTTGACCTGAGAGGGACATAGTGAGAGTGAGAAGAGAGAAGGAAAGTGAGAAAGCAGGCTATCAGGTCCGGGACTCACACTTGGTCGAGCCATGTCCTTAGGCACCACGCCTATGGCCAGCCCTGCAGGTCTGATGGGTTTCTGTGCCTCCCTCCACAGCGCCAGATTTGGGGGACACTGACTCCCAGCCTGAGCTACTCGGGCAACCCCCTTCCTAGCCACAGGAGCCAGTTCAGCAGTCACACCTTGGTGGAGATAACTGAGACGCGGGGAAGGCTTGCAGGCAGCTTCTGAAACCGCCCAGAGAAGGGAAGGAGGAAGCCTGTGAGCACGAGAGAGGCTGGCAACCCCTCTGCCCTCGTGGGACTGGGACGGAGGTGGGGGTACAGAGGGCAGAGTCCAGAGTCCGAGGGGGAACCAAGGGGGCACTGCTGAGCTGCTTCATCCAACCGGCCTGGGGGCTTGGCCTGCTGCTGGCCTTGCAGTCACATGAGCCAGTCCATACCCTCCACAGGAGTCACCTTGAATGGGGTTATCTGTAACTTGTCACTTACACAACCGAATTGATGATGTTGCCAACTAAGCAACAGCCTTTTGACAAAATGTAAGTTCACTATGAATTTCTCATAAACACTTAAAAAGTCATTATTAACAAGGGACAGTGGGTGGTATGATGGTTAAGGTGGTGGACTCCTACATGGCCAACTGTGGGTTCAAGTCTCAGACCTCGTGGATTGCTTTCTCACTTTCTTTTTCTCTCTCTCAAAGGTGAGCGCATGTACCTATAGCAAATTTTAAAATAAATAAATAAGTAAAAACTAAATGAACATTTCTTTAAAAAAGTCATTATTGACACATTTTGACTGAGCGCAGATTTGATTAAGAAATCAGAAGATACCAACACCACTAAGGAACAATGGATCGTTTGTAACAGAAGTGGGGAAGGTGTACTTGCATACAAAGAGAAATGAAAACAAAGAGGATAAAGACATCATGTATATTTACTGTATGGTTTTAAATGGTATATAGATTTATATGATATAAAACGGCAGAACTTAGAATACTTGTAATGAGAAACATTAAATGTAAGGATTTTTAAAAAATTTTTGTCTGTATCACAAACTTTCTTGGGGTGACAACTGAAATATCCACCTCCTTATGCTCTGGAATTGAACCCCACCTCCCATAGATAACTGTATACATTTACATGTTAGGCCTGCGTTACAGCTCAAAGACCATTGAGGAGTCAGGGCCACGGCGGTCACACCACCACACACCTTGGTGGAAAGTTCAACAACAGAGGGCCCGGAAGTGGTCACCCATCTCTCGGTTTCAACAGTGAAGAAACGAGGGGAAGGGCGTGTGCCCGCAGGCTGGCGGCAGCCCCACAGCATATTCAGAACCTGGCATGGCCCAAGCCCACTGCCGAGTCAGCGCCCGAGGCGTGGCAAGCCCGGAGCTCAACGTGCACATCTGAGCGCGAAGCTATGGCGTGTAGGCTGTGGGCAGGCACTGCCAAGGGCCTCAGACCCAAGTGCTTTTGAAACTTGGCCACAATGTTTAAAACGCTAACCTCTCCTGGTAATTTACAGAAACTACAGCTTCCAAATGGACCTTTAAAAATTAAGTTCCTGGAGAGGTGAGAGCCAGTCCACAGACTTCGAATGCTTTCAGGCGTCCAAATGCCTCGCCTACATCATATCGGAAACCTTATGAAGAAAAGACGTATTTAATTATTCTCGTAAAACGCAGATTAACACCACTAGGCAATCAAACGTTTTAGTGATGCCAGCTCTCTAGAATGAAGTCACCTGGCAAGGCCCATGATACAAACTGGAAGGTGCTCCGGTTTCACCAGGCAACCCCGTGTCCAGCGCTGGCTGTCCCTCAGGGCACTTGCCACCGCTAATACACCACCGTGTTAAGGTTAGGGCTTTTACTGTCGCTTTTTACACAGGGTCTCGCTGTCCCGACCCTCCTGCCCCAGCCTCCCAGCTGCCACTTAAGCACGCCCCACCATGTCAGGCTCTTAATCAAACAGGGTCTTGTTATGGTGCCCAGGCCAGACTCGAGTCTCGCTCCTCCTGCCTTAGCTCCTGATCACTAGGGTGGCAGGTTCTGTCCCCACATCCGGCCTTCAGGTAGAAACCGGATCTGGGCCTCCCAATGGTCCCAGACTGTGGAGCACAATGTCACAGCCACACACACCACTGCATCTGGGCCACTGTGTTTTTCTAAACCTTTAAATCATTTGTTGGTTTTGAAGAACAGAAGAGCTAAAATAGAACAGCAAATCAACGCTGCTGCTATTTCTAGTTACAGTTTAACTCCCTTTTGCTGCCAAATCTTACTCTGTTCCCCTGAAGTGTCACTTCTGCCTCATCTGAATTACTAGGACTTTTTTCAAAACATGAAATCACAGGCCAGTAGGTGGCATGGTAATTAAGGCACTGGACTTCCACATGGCTGACTGTGGTTCGAGTCCCAGATCTGACTGCTTGAAAATCACACTGGCCGCACATGTGTGTGTGCCCAAAATCCCAAGAAGAGAATGGAGAAAGGACAGCAGCATGGCCATCCCCTTTGGGGGGGGTGACTTCGCACTTTCTGTCTCTCTCCAATGACCGCACATACCCTATAGGAAAAATACCTTTAAAAAAATGTAAAAAACAATAACATGAAATCACAATGTGTTTACAAAATGCATAGAATTGTGTTTATCATTCCATCTGTTCTTTTATTTTTGGAGAGGTTTTTGTTATAGGGCGTGTGTGCTCGCCAGAAAGACAGACAGAGAGAGAGAAAGCGAGAAATCACCCCCTAGGGGGGCTGGTCACACCACAATCCCTTCTCCTCCATTCTCCTCTCGGGATCTTGGGCACACACACACGTGCCCAGCATGAGTTTAAGCCACTGGGTCCGGGACTAGAACCGTGGTTGACTACATGGGAGTCCAGCAACATAGCCATTATGCCAACTGCTGGTCCCTCCATCTGTTCTTTTTTATTGTTATATCTGCCTCTGTTTTCTAAAAGGTCCTTCCCGTATCTGTACACATCATTTAGACACCGAAGAGCAGAATTACTAAGCATGGCGAGGTGCTAAAATGAATCGTCAGACCTACCTGGGGTCAGCGCCTGGCTGCTCACCCTCTCCCCAAGTCCTGTAACTCACAAGGGGTTGACTGGGAGGCTTCCGCCTCTGAGTCTGAAGTGCGGTGAACTAAGCCTCATCATTAACTGATGCACTCTGAAGGCCTGAAACCAGCCATGCTACCTCCTCAACACACCACAGCAAGATGGCAGCACCCTGACGTCCTTTTCTTCCTCCCAGCCTCCCACCTGATCAGCACCTGTTCCTACCAGCCCAGCGACGTTGGGTGTCTGACTGCCAGAGGTTAGAGTAAAAGCTAGCTTGACCCAGTCGTGGTGGCACAGCAGCGACACGGTGCCCTGCAAGGCAGGAAGCCACTGGCTAAACCTGGCTAGAGTCCCAGGTCGGCCTGAACACACGAGGGCCATGCACATGGGTGCCCGGATCCTAAGGAGCTGGACGGCCCGCAGCACGAGACCTCACTGAGGATGCTTTGCTTTTCTCTCTCTCATGTGTGCACATGGACACTATTATTGTAAAAGAGAAAAAGCAAGCTTAGCCCACCCACAGGGGAACACTCACTGTCACCACTTGGGAGGCTAGAAGCCACATGGAAGGCCCAGCTTTGGCTCCTGGGCCGTTGTGCATGCCCGTAATCGAGATGATTGGGAGGCTGGGAGAGGAGGATCACAACACTGCAAGATCGTGCAGAAATATCTCCTCCCGGGCCGGCAGGTGATGCAGCGATTAGGATGCTGGACTCCCACATGGCTGAAACGGTTCAAGTCCCAGACCTGGGGACTTGCTTTCCCTTTCTCTCTCTGGTCAAGTGTAAAAAAATAATAAAAATAACAAATAAAATAAAATAAACAATTATTTTTTTTAAAAAAATCTGCTCCCTTCTCTCTTGCCACACTTCTGTCCCTTTCTCGCAAAGAAGAAAAAAAGAAAGTAATTCTTAATTACAAAGACTAATACAATTTTTTAAAAAAGAAAAAAAAACATGTTTGATACGTTACATTTTAAAATGCCAATGAAACTTTGGTCGATCACAAGCATATCACACAAAGTACTCACAGAGACAAAAATGAGAAAGAAGAATATTGAGAAAAGTTAAGTACTAAGCTGGTTGGTCTGTAAATCATTTTTCTGTTCTTTTTTTCAGTTACATTTATGAAATAAAAAACAAGCTGCCAAAGCGTATATGAAAAACTACCCAGCAGCAGGGAAATGCAAATGAAACCATGACGCTACCTTGCACCTGTTGGGTAGGTGTGATAAAAAAGACAGAAAATAAGTGCTGGCGAGGACAGGGCGGAAAGGGAGCCCTTGACACGGGGGGTGGGGGGTGGGGGGGTATGTAAATTAGTACAACCATTATGGAAAACTACATGGAGGTTCCTCAAAAAATAAAATGAGAACTACCACATGATCTAGCAATCTCTCTACCTAGCATACCAAGGAAAATCTCACTACCAGTGCTACCAAGCAGACGGAATCAGTGTGCTGAAGAGATACCTGCACCTCCACATTTGCTGCAGCATGTTTCACCATAGCCATGGTATGGAGCCAAAAACTAAGTGTCCATCAACAGACAGACGGATAAAGAAAATGTGGTACACCTACATAAAGGCCTTAAAAAGGAAGAACATCCGTAAGGCCAGCAGGTGGTGTGGTGGTTGAGGGGCTGGCCTGTGTGTACGTGTACCCAAAACCCTGAGAGGAA